GTGCTGGGAAACAAACCCGGATCTTCCGCCTCAACAAGTGCTCTGAGCCATCTCTGCAGCCTCAACTGTTTATTCTTCTAGGTGGTAGCGGGTGTTCACCATGTCACATTCCACAGAGACGCAGACGCCACTTCTGCCATGCCTGTTTGCTTGGCTTTGGGCTAACGCAGCACACAGATCTGTTGTGTAGCTGCTCCCTCTGATGAAGCATTGCTTACTGGAGGTAGGGGGCAGGCTCATCATACTACAAAAGCCAAAAGTTTACGAAACTTGGAGGCTAGGAAACTGCAGGGCTAGCAAGACCCCACCCTGAAGTTTGTACACAGTAAACACTTACTGGAGAGAAGAGCTGCTTCATGGAGTCGTGTATGGCACGGTGGGGGAGGGGTGGTGGTGCAGCTTTCGGAGTCCTTACCCTTGCTGGGGTGGGCTTTCTGGGGAGGCCTTTGAGTCACCCATGCTCCTGTACGCACAGACACCTCCTAAGGTTACTGGCTGATCAAACGACACTTACTTGGAATCAGTTTTGTTCTGTTGTGGGCGCGACCTGGAGAGACATTTGTTCACGTCTTCCCCGAGAAAAGCCAGACAAGATCAAATGCGGATTCCTAACCTTAGACAGCCAGCAGTCTGTGTGCCGTGGTTCCTTAGCTGCCAGTCTAGACAAGCAGCTTTCACTTACCTAAGGATCCAAACTGTGTGAGCTGGACATGGCCATGGGAGTGGGGAGGGGGAGGTTAGGCAAGAATAGACACAAGCTGGCAACCTGCACCTTGTTTCTTGAGAAGGTCAAGAACAAAGGGTCGATGTTCACCATCTGCAGCTGGGAAAGTACACAAGCTACACCGTTGCTCTGGTAACGTCACAAAAACCATGCTGGATGGGAAAGGGGATTCCCTTTCCTGACTTGACACGAAGTGTGCCTTCTAAAGTTGGAATTTTAACCTCTCCATAGAAGTTTACTTTAATGAGTGGAATTTCCACATTAGTATATAGGGATACAGAAACTAACCCAAGATTTTACTATGCTCATGTCTCCTTTAGGCAAAGCCAGAGAGAAACACAAATGACTTGAAAATGTTATCGAAAGGCCTTAGCTAGCAGAGATTAAGATAAGCCAACCCAGAAGCTAAAACACTGGACAAGAAAAATTAAAATGCCAAACCTTGTATCTGTTTCCCTATATGGTTTCTCCACTACTCTAATAAGGAAGCATTATTCTTATCAGCCCGTTCAAGTTTGTGGAACTACTTCCTTTTAATAAAGTGGAAAACAGAAATTTGCATTTCAAGAAAAAAAATCTATATGCATTCAAGTAATATGGGCCAAAATCAAAATGGTGCACTTTAATCACTCTTTGTGTCAAGCTTCATTTACATAAAATCTCCCTTAGAGACTTGTGGTAAGATATATCTTTTCATACACAAATCATTTAAGTAAGCATTCTTGCTCTGCAATGACTACTGCCCCCAAAATTTACCAACTAACTATTCTGAGTGACTAATCTCCCCAAGTCCAATCTAATTCCAAAAAACAGATATATCATTAGGAAAAAAAGATGCATAATTGATCATCAGGGAGTGTTTTCTGTGTATGTGTGTTTGTATGTATGCCATGAGTGTGCTCATGCTCGAGGGGGCCAAAAGAGGGCACCAGGTACCCTGGTGCTGGAACTACAGGTGGCTCGAGAGGGGGATGCAATGGCTAACCACTGCTCCACCCTTCCAGCCCTTGGGGGTGAATATTTCTTTAATCACATAGAAATGGCATCTCATAGTCTTTCTCTTTCCTCTATAAAAAGACAACCATTCTAAAGGTATCTTTTCCAGCCAGTCATCTTTCAGTAATTAGCTGATTATCTCTCAGTCGTTGCCCCTGCAGGCATATGGCACTGTACAAGGTCCTTGTTGCCACGAGAACACTGTTTGCCTCTGAAAGGCAGAGGCCGATAACCAAACAAGGGAACTTTAGATAGACAAACACCTTGATGGGCACAAGCCAGTGACAGTAGGTGTGATGCTGATTACCAGCTTTCTCCTTGACTCACTTAGCCAGCATGTGCGACTCTGTGCACTTGGGGAAGTCAGAAGCAGTTCTCGGCTCCCACCAGAGTTCTGGTGATCACACTCAGGTCCTCAGGCTTGGACGGCTTAAACAAGAATGTCCCTTACAGGCTCAGATGTTTGGACACTTGGTCCCCAGTTGACGGTGCTGTTTGGGAAGAGTTAGGAGATGTGGTATGTCAGGGGGGTGGGCTTTGAGGTTGGCTTAAAAGCCAGGCTCCGTTCCCAGTTTGCTCTCTGCAGAGATGGTTCGAGACGTGAGCTCTCACCCTGCAATTCCAACTGCCATGCCTGGCACTTTGCCTCGATGGATCTTATCCCTCTGGACTGTAAGCCTTCCTTCTGTAAGCTTTCTTGCTCATGACATCTTCTCACAGCAATAGAAGATTAACTAAAACACAACCTCTCTGAAGTGACATTTCATCTGAGCCAGGAACGACAAAAGCAACAGGTGGATAAAGAGCTCTGCAAATAGGAGGGCAAGTGGAGAGATCCTGGGACAAGGGAAGTGGAGGTCCCAGGGTGAGTAGAGTACAAGGAACAACAATAGCCAGGAAGTGATGTACTCTACCTTTCCAGATCACTTTAGTCCCCATTGATAGCAGGGAAAGTGGACAGGAAGAGGGAACAGTGTCAGCAGAGATGGAATAGAAGAAACCATTAACTCAGATCTTTGATGGGAGAGTAGAGAGGTGGGTGAGAAACACTAATATTCGGGAGCAACAGGGTGAGACACAGAATAGCGAAGCATTGCGGACATTTGCCAGTTCTGCCTGCTCAGCATCCGGATTCTTCTCTTGCAGTCAGGACATTCACCCCCACATGCTTTAGGGAGGGGTGGTTCTCAGCCTGTGGGTAGCAACCCCTGGGGGATCGCATTTCAGATATCCTGAATAGCAGATATTTATTAGGACTCAGAACAGTAGCAAAACTAGGTCTGAAGTGGCAATTAAATAATTTTATGGTGGGGGGGGTCACCACAAGCTGAGGCACTGTATTAAAGGGCAGCATTAGGAAGGTTGAGGCCTTCTGCTCTAGGGGACAGTTACAGCTAGTTCCTAACTCTGGAAACTAGGAACAAGACTGGTGCTCTTGTCAGGAGATCCCAATCACAGATGATGCCGTGCAGTGGCTGACCACGCCACAGCAGCAGCAGGACCAGGTGTGGCCTTCCCTGACACTCCCGACCGGCCTGTCTCTGCCCCTTTCAAGTTTACTTCTTACCCTGGCTAGCCTGGTTGTTTCAGAAAGGGTTTTACTAAGCACCCTCCCTAGCCCTGACCTTAGCCCTGAACTTGCTGTTGATTCTCCAGTCTTTGGGGCTGTTAGTCTTAAGGGCAAGCCAATTTTCTTTTCATTTCAAAGCACTTGAAAAATTATGGTTTTAAATTATAAAATTACTGTGTTCAGGAAATTCAGTCCCCAACATAAAACTATACAATCTGCTATTTTCCATGCATGGCTTTCATGAGCTGTGCCATTCCTCAGAGATGCACAAGTCTTTTGTTCCAGAGTCTGATGGTGACCGAGCATCAGCCCCAGACACAAGGGCACCTGTCCAGCTTGTGAACAGGACAGGACATAGCCTTCTGGTAACCGCTGTTACTAGTAACATCTAACTGCAGGAACATTTAAAAAATTATTTTACTTACATGTCTCTTTTGCCTCCATGTATGTTTGTTCAAGAGTAGACATTACAGAAACAGTTAAAATTGTGAACTGCCATGTGGGTGCGGGGATTTGAACCTGGGGTTCTGTTGGAAGAACACAGCCAGTGCTCTTAACCACTGAGCCACCTCTCCAGGCTCCAGGAAATCATTTTGATCTGTGGGGCTTTTGTGGTTGTTTGTTTTAGACAAGATCTATGTAACCTGGCTGTCCTGGAACTTGCTATGTAGAGCAGGCTGCGCACAAACTCACAGAGATCCACCTGTTTCTGCCTCCTGAGAGCCGGGATTAAAGGTGTGTGCCACCATGTCTGGCCATTTAGTTTTACAGCAGCTCCCTTCTACTGCTTGGCTATATATATCAAAAGCCCACACAGAGGCAGGCACCGCTACTGCTACTTCTCTTGTCTAAATGAACATGTTTCCATCTCAGCTTACTACACAGCTGGAAACACTCTTAGCTAATGTGAAATGCCTTCAACATTCTAAACTAGTTTCAACACAAGACTGCAAGCCCAATCAAAATGAAGGGGAAGAAATGAAGGCTTGGTGAGCCCCAGAGAGATCCAAGTTTATCTGTGATGTACCCTCCTCACCCTTGAGCAGGTGCAGGACTCCTAGGCTCTCCCCAAGCACTTAACGACGGCCATGATTATTCAAGGATCTAGAAGCTGATGCCTGTGATGACTTGCTCAGGTCAGTGATGCCTCAGTGAGGAAAGATGCTTGTTACCAAGCATGATGCCTAAGTTCGACACACATGCCGTGTCATTCACCACAATACACACAATATAACATATATTATATAGTATAGTGTATATATAGTGTAATTTTTAAAAAAATGTTTAAGTAAAGGCAACTAAACATGGCAATTCTGGAAGCAGCAAAGGCAATTTTAAATAGGCCTATAAGTGTAACAGTGATTTAGATAAAAATGTTTATCATATTCCAGGTGACAGAGACTGATCAAGAACTATTCTCATCAAAAAATAAAGTAAGAATGATCCCTAAAGTATTTCAGACTCCAGAAAATTCCAATTTTGGACATATCAATGCTATATATATTTATGGATAACTAAGGACTATGAAGTGAGCTGAGCACGGTGGTGCACGCCTTTAGTCCCAGCACTCCAGGGGCAGAGGCAGGCGGATCTCTGAGTTAGAGGCCACCTTGGTCTACAAAGCGAGTTCCAGGACAGCCAGAGGAACACAGAGAAACAAAAAACAAAAGACTATCAAAGTGATCTTTACAATCAATGATAATAACATGACACTGTTATAATACTTTAATAAAGCACTTACATTCTGGAGCCACTTACAGGATTTACATATATGCATGATACAGCACACGAAAGAAAGAAAACAGATATTTTCCTTACAAACATTTAAAAAGAGTTTTGCATAGTTTCTGGTATTTGTTACACAGAATTTTAAAAAATGAAAGTCTCATATAAAAACAATTATTTTTCTCCAAACTAATGGGCTTTCAAATTAAATAGCTGGATGTTATACAAATTGCATAGACATAGTTACATTAAGTACCTTAATATTTAGAAGTACGTTAAGAAGTCAGTTTTCGTGGCTGTTGCACATTAAACTCGGTAACTGAAGTTTCATTTATACTTTTAAAATTACACATTCTGTAAGTATAAAAGCTTTTAAAAAATACATTCCAATTTAAGTTTTAAAAGCCTTCTAAATTTACAGCTTTACACACCACTGTGATTTCTGTAACAACTGCCCTGGGAGATGCCCTTAGCCAAAATAAGTTAATTTCTTTTTTTAACTGTAACATGTAGCCTCCTGGCAAGATGACTTCTTTAGAAACAAGGACAATTATGAAGTCAACATTTAGTATACCACTACAAATAAATATTTAAAGCATCACAGGAAACAGTAATGCATACAACAGGTGACATTTTTTTTAAGTCACCAGTGCAGGGATCTAGTCCCTCGATCCCTTATGTAGCTGAAAGACTTCAATGTAAAGTATGACTTTTCACAGGGATACTGTGTCTAGGGAGCAAACGGGAAAGGCTATTGCTTCTACTCAAATACTTCTAGTGTCTTTTTATTCAAGTTTTTTTTTTTTAATGTAACTTATCTTTTAACTTAGACATTCTTTCTGAAAAAGACATTTTTAAGCTTATAATTTTGGCCTTGTGACATAGTTTTTAAAATACATAAAATGCTATAGTCAACACCTTTCCTCATTCTGAAACCTATACACACATAATGCACTTATAAATATATACATATTCTCCAAATCATAAAAATATTAATTTTTTATAAACTTAAATAATTGCTGAATGTTAATACAAAATACATTAATATCTGTATAATTTTACATTTATAAAAACTTTTCTCATAGCAGCATTCGTCTTGGAAATGACATTGCACAAGGGCTCTGACTGCAGATCAGCCAGTCCAGCTGCGGCGTGCTCTGCAGGGAGCATCTGTCCCCAGCTAAGGGAGAGCAGCTCTCACACTGCACCAAAGCCTCAACGGGGTAATACCGTACCCATCCCTTACAAAGACCTGCACGATTCCTCCAGGCAGCTAGCAAGGTTTACTAAACTATTCCCCAAGTCCAAGTTACCTTTATGCCCCAGAACATCTCAAAGTAAAATAACTGTATTGGTGAGCAGTGATTATAACTGAATTACATGAACTTATTTTATTAGAAATTAATTTAAGGTTCCAACATTAAAAGAAATACCAGAAAGAGGCCCCGAGAGGGGTAAGGATTGCCGTGAACCTTGATGACATCTTCACAAAGAAAATGGCCCTCCACCTCAAACACTCATATTCAGCTTGTTTTTGTTGAGCTCACGTTCCAGGTTACCAATCAACGTATCGATACTTTCTTGAAGATCTCTGAGGTTAGCTTTTTGATCCGCTGTAGACTCAATTGTCTCCACTGTCAAGTACGTCTGAAACGTGCACCCTTTGGACATGGGGATTTGCTGCCCAATCATGACTTCTGCTCCATCCATTTTGCTATAATCTCTATTTTCTCCATTTTCTAAGGGAACATCATCATAATCCAAATCCTTGAAATTTTCCTTTGTATTTAAAAAATAGTCTTCTCCGCAGCTGCTCCAGTCTCCTGCATAGCGATTGCTGAGTGGGCTGTCTAGTCTGACCTGCCTTGGCCTCAGCACCCCTGATGAATCCGTACCACTCAAATTTAATACACACGGCTGCTCTTTCTTTCGCCTCAAATAATTCAGAGAAGATGACTGCTCCAGGCACAAACTGTCTGTGGGCTCTCTGACAGTTAAGCGTTGCACTAGAAATGAACAATACACGCACTTTAATGACAGCCACTGACCTCAGAAAGACACAGCAGACAATGAAGCCATTTAATAATCAACTACAGACATGCGCTTAACAGAGACATGCGTTCGATTGAAAGAAAGCATAACATAATAATTTTCTACCACCGAATATAATTAAGGTTAGGCATAGAGACTAGTACAATGTTCAGTGGTGCTATTTCATGCTAAATAATGACATTCCCCAATAAAACTCCCGACATTGATTAACCTTCTGTGCAAGTTAATTGTTATCTAGCTGTAATTCTAAGCCAGTAGCTTCTCTTACATTAAAGACTACAGCAAAAAGCAGGCAAGGCATGGTGTGTAAACAGCAGGGAACAAGAAGTTCCTTTGTCTACAAACATCTAGCCAAGGCAAAGCCATCTACAGTGCTCACTCTAGCTCTGACCTTCCTGGGCTTTCTTTTTGCAGTTAGCAGTGTGTCATTATCAAGCAGCCCAAATTTCACTTTGATAAATGCATGAATACTGGACTCGGCCAATGGTTACCTGAGTGATTACACAGCATTAGCTACTAATAGTCTTCATTTTTTCCCTGGAAATAGCACAGATATTTTATTTTCCAGCTCCAGTTAGAGATCTAACAACCTCAAATAACCTCTTTGTATGTAAACTCATTTCTTCTGAGACGAGCCACGTCCTACCTCCTGACAGTGCACTGGTCAGACACGCAGGGCTTTGTATGAAACCAGACCTAACGGTGCTTACTTAGAACAAACTCTGCGTCTAACGTGGTGAATGTAAAATAGGCCTGTGTAAAGTTCTAAGACACGGTTATTAAAGACTGCCTATCCCCCTGCTTGTTTATTCTGCTCTGCCTCTTCCTTATAGTTCCCTATCTATGATAAGGAAGCATAAAACAGCAATACTATTGGTTCTGCAAGACAGAATGAGGGTTTACCTGCAAAAGAAAGCAACTTAAGAATAGTACACACATCTAGTTTTCTAGACTTACGATAATATTCCCCGCATTTTACAAAGATATTTTGCTTATACCTATATTTCAACTTTTATTTACTTTAGTAACTGTATATTACACACTTTTAAACATTTCTGTTTATTACATTTTTAAAGGTTTATTTTGTGTATGAGGGTCATGCCTGCATGTATGTGTGTGTGCCAGAGGCGGACAAAGAAGGCATTTGATCTTATTATCTCGGCTGCTTCCTCACTTTCTTCCCTTCATCCTCTGTGCTATTCCTGTCCTCAGTGCCTGCCTCTTGGGCCCGAGCTTTTTGCCAAAGAATCAACAGCACACTGATGATCTGGAGAAAAGTCCATGTCACTTTTGCTTTTTCAGGACTCTTTCAAAAACTCTACTTTTACAGTTTCTTGGGAAATACTCAAGAAACCCATAAATCATTATTTTACAGTAGACTGAAAATTCAATTCTGAAACACCAATGTCACCATCTCTTTAAACTGCTGATACGGAGATGTTTTCCTACAAATCTGTAAGGAGAATGGCTAAAAGAGGAGTTCCAGCTTTCCCCACACTATTGACTGCCTGTTTTCAACAGAATGAAGTAAAAATGCAGCCAACAAAGGTTGCTGAAAACATTTCAAAGTGTGATAGGTATTAAGAAACTTAATTCTGAGCCAGGCCTAGTGGCACACACCTATAATCCCAGCACTCAGAGGAGGCAGAGGCAGGGGATCTCTGTGAGTTCAAGGCCAACCTGGTCTAAACAGTAAGTCCCAGACAGCCAGGACTACACAGACAAACCCTGTCTCAAAAAAAACCAAACCAAACCAAACAACAACAACAAAACAAAACAAAACAACTTTTTCCTTATGTTTTGTGCCAGCAGATTTTTATCCACTGAATTACCTTAGAAAACATCCTTTACAACCTAGTAGGAAGTAAGAAACCCTGCCCCAAACATGGAGAACATGGAAGAGCAGCATCTTAAAAGCTGCAGCTGCGCTCTGAAGGCAAAAGGACGGCCTCAAAGTAACATCCCGAATTCTTCTCCAGGGCAAACACTCAACACAGCATGTGCAGAGAGAAGACTGTCCGAGAAAGGGAATGTTTCCACTGCTCTGGGAACCCTTGCTCACCCAGCAGCAAAGCCACTGGCACGCCAGGCTGGTCAATTTGGGCAGGGCAGTGCTACCGAACAGGCTTCCTATTTTTGAAGACAGGACTTTACAAACAGAAATCTCAAAGCAAATTATCTTCTTGACCCCAGATGAGGGGGCGGGGGAAACAAAAGTAACACAAAAGCAAAATGTGTAGGGGGAAAAAAAAAAGGTAAGTCCCCTGGGAGTGGAGGAACTTCTCCAAAGAACAGTAAGCTATACTCCTTCCACTGAATGCATGGACTGCCCTGGCCTTCTCTCCGTCACTCCCTAGTCACGGGCCCAGGAACTGCACCTTGCTTGCATGCTGTCCGCCTCTCCTAAGATTCACAGCACACAATTTAGAGGGAAAAACTATTGTTTCCTCTCATCCTCTGCCCAGTTCTGTCTTTTGTCTAAGGTACTTTCAAGGAAAATAACAGGCTGTAGAAAAAGGTTATTATTACAACCAGCAACAAAAGTCTTTGGAATAAGATGCTGAACATGAGGCAGTTGTTTAAGTCATCATTAAAATACAGCCGATGGGCTGAAGAGAGAGCTCAGGTTGGCCTCTGAGTATGAGCTGCTCTGCCGTGCATCAACATAGCTGACAACTGTATGGAGCTCTGTTACAAGGGATCTGGCACCTTCTTCTGGCCCCACAGAAATGCACATGTGATACATAGACAGACATGTAACCTAAACACACATATAAAATAAAAAATCCTAAATGAGTAAAATGTAGCCGATAACAAACCTGTTTAAGTTTACGTGTGTGTGTGTGTGTGTGTAGCACAGAGAGAGGTAGGGGTGGGGCTTGGAAGAAGACTCAAGAGTGAGGACCTGATGTGGAAGGACAGAAGTTATCCTCTCACCTCAAATGTGCGTGCGCTTGTGCACACCTGGTGCCTGTCAGGTGAGAAGAGGGCATCAGATTCCCTGGCTCACACTACGGACAGCTGCAAGCCACTAGCGCTCTAACCACCATCCATCCCTTTCGCACCTGGTAGACTGAAACTTTAACACCAAAATATCAATGATAATTGCCAGGATGAGCTGAAGTACACGTGAAACTAACCACTGCGATAGTGAGAACAAAGGACACGGGGTGGAGAGGTGGTTAGGAGTACTTGCTCTCTTCCGGAGGACCCACACCTCATAGCTCGAAATTGCCTGTTTAACTCGTGCTGCAGGGAACCCAATGCCCTCTTCTGGCCCCTATGCACATGCACACAAGTAAAAAGAAAATAAATCTTAAAAGTACAAAAAGAAAGGATTCCAGCGCAGAAATTTCAGGGAATAGTTCTGACCACAGCCCATCTCTTGGTCAATACTTGATATTTAATAAATGCTTGCTTTACATTTGGAAAAAAATCAGCTTAAAAAGAAAAAAAAATGAATTTTGCTTTGTAACAAATTAACTAAATAACGATGAGAAAATAAATTAAAATTGAGCATTATATGCTAAAAGCTGTGCTGATCACCTTAAATACATCTTTGTACTGAATTTTCAGATGAAGTCTATAAATTTAGACTACTATTTAGACTAAATTTAGACTACTATAAATTTAGACACTATTAAGTGCTAAGGTGGAACACAGTAACATCTGCAGCTTTCCCAGGTCGGAGTGCCCTGTGTGGTATGACCATCACTCCAAGCCAGATCCTACTAAACCCAGAATGTGTAAAATGGCTCACATGCCTACGATGTTATGAGGAAACACAAAATATACACACTACAGAGCAGTGAATTCTTCAGCACTGAAAGCAAAATTCTAGATTTTTGTTTTCCAATTCTATCTAAGCATTTCGACCATTTCTAATCCACACATCCATAGCTGCTAAAGAAATGTACTCCAGAGACCCCTTTACCTGGCCAGAGTTGGAGCAAGTAATGAAGAACTTCGATGTGCTTTTTAAAATCCAAAGCACTTGCCAGTTCTTCGGAATCGGTGAAGACTCTGTGGTGCGTGGAAGTCTCCTGCCTCTGACTGAGCAACACCGGTCCGAAGCACACAGCCAGATTCTGACAGGTCATCTTATTCACTTCATGGTAGGAGGCCACCAATTTCAGATGATCGAGCAGCATCTTCAGGGTAGCCTAAGTACGCGAAAGCATAATTTAATCCTCTAGATGGTTACATGTCCACATAAAATGCTTAGTAACAGAGTCTAAATTCCAGTCGACCTCCTTAGGAAAATACATGGCCCACCAACTCTCTCCTCCCTCTGGAAAGCAGTAGCAGCAGCTGCTGAGAAGGGAAGGAGAATTCACCTGAAGTACAGATACCGGGTTGCGAGTGGGGAATGCCACACTGGAGAGCCTGAAACCAGGGCCTGGGCTATGTCTGTGGTGATCTATTATGAAAGGACAGTTTTTAAAGGCCAACATGCATCTCGTTTTCCCATCATGCTTTTTAACTAACAAATATTTTAAGCAAACAAAATTATGAAAGGGGGGAAAAACAGAATTAAAAAAAAAAAAAAAGTTTTTCCTGAACTCGGTGTGGTGGTGCACACCTTTAAGTCCAGCACTCCAGATGCAGTGGCAGGCAGATCTCTTGAGTTCCAGGCCAGCCTGGTCAAGTTCCAGGACAGCTGGGGTGATAGAGAAACCGTTTTAAGTCCTAAAATTAATAAAGGAAGTTGGTAGTAAGTGGAGCCAGGGGAACCTTGCAGAAGAGGGGGAAGAAGGATTGCAGGAGCCAGAGAGGTCAAGGATACCAGGAGGACATGGCCCACAAAAATCAACTGGGCAGGACTCATAGGGGCTCACAGAAACTGAAGACACAAACATGGATCCCAAATGGTCTGAGCTAGGTCCTCAGTATATACCTTATGGTCGTGTAGCTGGGTGTTCTTGTGGGACTCCCAACAAGGAGTGTGTGTGGGGGGGGGTTATCTCTAAGTCGTCTGCCTGTGCTTAGGACCCTTCTCCTCCTACTGGATTGCCACATCCAGTTGTAATATGAGGGTTTGTGCCCGGTCTTATCTTGTTAGACCAAGTTGTGTGGATATCCCTGGCAGGCCTGCAAAGGAGAAGTTAATCTGGGGAGAGAGTCTGGGAGGAGGGGAAGAAGGGGGAACTTGAGGTCCAGGTGTAAGTATGAAAAAAGATTAACAGTTAAAATAATAACAATAATAAAGTAAAGGAAATTGGTTCAAAATGAAAAAATATTTAAATTTTAAGCAGCTATGGAAGAGTGATTTTTGAAGTATTATAATTTATCATCTTAAGAAATGAGCTACAGTTTTTTTTATAAATATTAAACAAATGACTGTGAATTTAAAACTGCTGTTTAGGGACCAGAGAAATGGCTCAGTGGTTATGAGTGCTTGCTGCTCTTGTTAAGGACTAGAGTTCAGTCCCCAGCATCTACAGCAAGCGGTTCATAATGACCTGTAACTCCAGCTCCCAGAGATCTGGTACCCTCCCTGACCACCGTGAGCACCAGGCATAAATGCGGTGCACATACAGATACGCAGGCGTTCATACATACAAATCAAATGAAATAAATCTTTAAATAAATCAGAACTTAGAAGGCACATTCATTTCTGGGCTAACATTATACCCAGAAAACATGAAACTGATCTCTAGATACATTTACCAACTAGTAAAAGCAGAGCCTAAACCCAACTGCCACAAGTGTTAGAGACCTAAAAGACTGTATGTGGTAATGGAGCTTATGTAGCTAACTCACATGCTAGGCGTCAGGAAAACAGTCTGTCAAGCATACTTACCTTCTCAACATTGGGCAGGCAGTTCAGCAGGTCAACAGTGAACTTCGAGTCACTGGCCTCATTCTCACAACCATTTGATGACATTTTCAAAGGACTTTTCACCATTGCATCTAACACAGCCTCATACAGCTGCTTTGTAATTAGGGGAGAAGGAAGTTCTCTTAAATAGTCCTTAAGAACACCTGTAAAAATAGACCAGAGACAATGAGAATGTGTTTGCACAGTAAGTGTAGTGGACTCTTTAGAAATGCAAACATCAACTTTAACATTCTGAAAATAATATAAACAACAACATAAAAAGTATTATCACAAAACACTGGCAATTTATATTCCTAGAAGTTGCTTTATAACTAACTTTGTTTGGAACATGCTAAAATACAGACATAATTTCTAGTTTTAAGTCATGATTAGACTGGGTTCTTGATACATAATCCCTACTGACTCTGCCCCCTGTTAGAAGCTCCTACATGTTCAAGAAAGTAAGAAATACAAGTGTTAGTTGTAAACTACTAAATTATCCAAGTTTTGAACTCTGAAGCTTTTAAGCAAAATGAAAGGGTAGCAACAGTCCAAAGCCTCTGTAAATCAACAGACAGGGATGACTCCTTCCTAAGGCTGCACTTGTATCTTAAGCAAATACACTGGATCCTTAGTCTCTCATGCTACTCTGCCATGCGAAAGGGAAAGGATGGCTCCCAGTACCAAGCAAATTAAAATGGAAGCCAAGAACAGAAAGCAGCAGACTTGTTACTGTAAAAAAGAAGCCTGAAGAATAATATCCATAGTGAGCTTTTAAGAGAAGGCTGAAAACTCCTATCTAGTAAGTTTGCTTTAAAAAGCATTTGTAATTCAGCAGGAAAAAAGAAGGTAGGACATGCTTCTTTGCCAGGTTTACGGCTTTACCCTCCAAATGAGTTTCCAAGATACTGCTTGAAATGGGACACGGGGGAAATTGCAGTTTACCAGTATGAAGAAGAGTGTCTGTGGGACATGTAAGTTTGCTTCCTATAAAACTCTACAGCTCAGAAAGACATGACCAAAGAACTCGAGAATGAACAACTGAGAGATGATTGTCACTTAGAAAGTGTAAGCCCAGGGATCTGAATGTCAAGGTCATCTTCTGTTACAAGGCAAATTCCAGGACTGCCTGATAACAGAACCCCTATCTCCTACCCCAAACCAAACCCCTATATCTATTACAGAATCAATGCATGACTTCATGTCATTAGAACAGGTAGTGTTGGGATGAGGAGAAAAGCACACGTGTTGCCAAGGGGACAAGAAAAAGCTGCTTCAAGACAGACAGACCCTGAGGTATCAAATGATAGGCAATAATACCTAGGTTAGATAAGGATGGCCATAAATGCCACAGGGAACAGTCCGTTCCAGCCCCTGCATTATGACCCACTGCCAGGGCCCCTTATTTATAAACAAATTCCTCTTGTGAGTCTATGGCAGAGGGTTTTTATAACTAGGTATTGGACACAATGACCTAGAGGCGATTAGAGATAAGGAGAGGAAAAAAAAAAAAAAAGACTCATGAGAAAAGGAAATCAGCAGTCTTGGCAGGCAGTTACAGGGAATAAAGGACCATCAGACAACTGGTTAGGACGTGAATGGGCATGAAAGAAGCAGCAGAAAGTAGTCAACCGGGGAAGTCCCCAGGGAAGAAAGCAGAGATTCCTGAGAAAACAGGAAGGAGTGGGACTAGCTCAAGATATCAGGAAGATCATTGGACCCAACACCAAGACAAGTGGGAAGCAGAAAGATGGTCAGAGCAGAAGGCACTGCTCCCATCCATGGCTTCCAGCTCTCTGTGATGTGAGGAGGCAAAGGCTTTAACAAGTTTGTGGGTAAGGAGAGTAGATACTAAGCAGACATTGGAGAATAAGGGATGGAGGACAAAGAAGAGAAGGAGAAAGAGGAAGAGAAGACAAATGGGAGAGAGAGAAAAGAAGGAAAAAGGCAATCCCAGCACATTAGCACCAAAAAGAATTATATGCTTGAGGGAAACAAAACAGGTGGAAAATCTTACTCAACCGCACTTGAAAAATATTATAGGAGACCAACGGGGGGTGGGGGGGGCGGAGGGACTACAGTCCATGTTTATACACCAGATGTTAACCCTGCGAAGATAACAAGACACCCTAAATCTATTACAGAGTCAATGCAGATCCTACCAAAATCACAGCTGGGAGCTGGGGGCATAACTCAGTGGTAGACTGTACAAGCCATGGATTTGGTCACCATTATCACCATATAAATAAAATAAGATCCAGCTAGCTCTGTCACAGAAACTTACAAACGGATTCTAAACGCTGTAAGTAAGAAATTCAAATAGCCCAAAAACCTGGTAAGGAAAATATGAGAACTAAAACCTTCCAGTTTCAAATTTTCTTACTGAAAATTTGAAATGAGCTTCAGTCATCAGTGTAACACCAAAGCATCAAGATGGACAGCCTAACAGGCCAGTAATGAGAGCCCACATTCAGTCAAGTGATGACTGAAAATCAAGGGCAGAGGGATGGTTCAGTGGTTACAAGCTGTTGTTGTAGAGGACCAGGGATCAGTTTCTAGCACCCATGTGACTGCTCATAGCATCTGTGACTCTAGTTCCAGGGACTCCAACTGCCTCCTCTGACCTCAGCAGAAATCATACATGTGCAAGGTGAACATACACTCATGCAAGAAAACCACTAATAGACACAGCAAAACAAACAGTAAATAAACAAGAAAATGAATAAACAGAACAGGGAAAAAAGACTCAAGAGAAGCTAAGACAAGCAGATAACCACTTGCTAAGAATAACAGGACTCCTTACAAAATGCACAAAACTTAATTTCAAGTGAGAAGAGATCTAAATGTAAGAAGTAAAATCATTTAATTCTCTGAAGACTGTGAAAATTTTTCATGATCTTGGGGTAAATAAGGCCTGAGATACAACAGCTATTTTTCACTTGTTTGTTTTCCCCAAAGACAGGTTTTCTCTGTGTAGCCCTGGCTGTCCTGGAATTCCCTCTGTGGACCAGGCTGTCCTCAAACTCAAGAGATCCGCCTGCCTCCACCTCCCGAGAGCTGGGTGTGCCACCGTGTCCAGCCTGAGACAAGTAACGCATTACAGAGTTTAATTTGACTCATATTTTGGAGGTTTCAGTTCGAGGCTGGCTCCATGGCTACACCGACCATCAATCAGAAACACAACAGAGGAGAGCTGCCCACCTTACAGCTGCTGGCAAGTTGAGAGCATGAGAGAGACTAGGGACAAAAAAGGAAAAAGGCCACAGACGCTTGCAATACAACATGAGGGAATCCAAAATAATTTTGCTAATCAACAAAGTCATGTACTTCTGTTTACTTATAAAAAAAAAAAAAAGGTCTTCCTGTATGGTTCTATTATACAACTTCTAGATAACGAAATCAACTTATAGCAGGAGAAAGACCTATGGCGGCCTGAGAACGGGACAACAGAGGTGATGGTGCAGGCAGGAGAGACTAGACAGGACATGAGGTGGCACTTGTATTTTTTAGACTCATTGTGGCTACGGTTCCATGGTGCGTATACGTGTGGAAACACCCAGCTGCACACTTGAAATATGTGTATTTTCATTCTACGGCAATTATGCCTCAATAAAGCTGTTATGTAAGACTAACCACCGGCATTGCACGGTGGGAGCTTTGCCAGATGGGAGGAACAGAAAGGAGGCCATGGGAGGGACACTCCGGACATTTAATGGAACTGGCTGAAATAATGAACCATGAGAAAGAATATGATACCAGAATATGAATAGGAAAGCCACAAGCAAAGTTAGAGGAGACTGACTTAGGGTAAAAGCAGCTGAAAAATGAAAGAGAAAGCCTGAGGGACAGGGAGAAATGACATCAATTCAAAATGTTGGCGGCAAACAGATTCTGGATGACAAAAACCAGGTTAGACCTTAGGAATGAGTCACTGAGGCAGAGTTGATGTAAAGGTCACTGGGCGCCAAGACAAGCCGCACACACTTGTCATCCAAGTACTTGGGAGGCGAATGCAGGGTTGTGAATCTGAGGCCAGTCTGAGCTATTACTGAGACGCAGTCTCAACAAACAGACCACTGGGGACAACAAAGAACTAAGAACCCAGTGTTCTCAAATGTTTGGCTGTAGGTTAAAGTCATGATGTCAAATGATGGAAAATATAGCCAGAAACAAGGTAGCCAACGTTCCCCTAGACAGACCTGAGAAACATGGACCTGTTTAAAACAAAACACTGTATCTGGACCACCCCATTCTGTCCCAGACAAAACCGCCACTAAACACCGGAACTTCTGAACATGCAGCATCACTCACTTCATACGTTTTTTGTGTTACAGACTCACTTAGCTATTATTTTCCAAAGTTTATGCAGAAATGAGTTCAAGAAAACACATGAGGCAGCTTTACCACTGGCCACTTCCCAAACCCACAGTTCTCCCTCTCTGAACGCTCGGTGGCCCTTTGTGTAATTTATCCCAATGCTACTTTTCAAACAAATCATTTCATTGTTTTTGATATTTTTAATCAAGAAAGAAAGCAGCTTCAAATTCTTTTGAAAAATAGCTCCACTGACATGTAATAGGCCAAATAACAGAGGCAAGAAGCATCTAGTTTGTGGCTTCAGACTGTCCTATTTAGAAAAGAATGCTACAAGCCAGACTTCACTAACCTATGTTCATGTCGACAAACACTGACAGTACCCAAACCCAAGCATCCCTTCCTAACAAAACAGTCAACTCAAATCACACCTTCCATCCCTAGACCACGAACACTTAGCACCACTTTTATTTCTAAGCTAAGGCTTTGCCAAGACAAAAATTCCCTTTGTTCATGCTTTCCTAGAAACAGGTATCTATAAAATTTTCCTTTAATGAATTCTTTAAGTGACTCCTTTGCTAATTTTGCAAATTATATACTGTCTCATTTTTTAGTAAAGTAATAAGCCACTCCTTACCAAAAACTTAGTTTCTGATTTGTTAACAATTCCTGAGTCAATACAGTGGTGCATCAGAGGCAGAGGCAGGAGAATGTCTGTGAGTTTGAGGCCAATTTGGTCTACATACAGTGAGTTCCAGGATAGCCAGGGCTACATACATTGTGAGATCCTGTCTCAAAAAATATTCACAAAAAAGAAAAAAAAAACAAAAAAACTTTGGTTTGCTTTCTCTTACTGGTAAACTGCTTGAGATCAAAGTTACATCATTCAAGAAGACAGAGAGTAAACACTCTATGCAAGTAAATCACTTGATTCCTAAAGCCACAATCCTAAAAGTGAACTTCCCAGTATAGCAGCTCTTCAGTATGTACTAAGTGCACTTGCCTTAAATTCTTACCCAAAATTAATTGTGTATAAAATAGGAAAACAAATTAGGAGAGGTAAACATCAATACGTCAAGACAAAGAAAATGTTAGACAACAGAGAAAAGAAAACACAACTACCATGATACACTGAAGACAGAAGAATCCCATGAGGTATTTACGGGTAAAAGGTTTTGATGCCTGGGCTTTGTGTCTCTGTAATCTTGGTCTGGAGAGGATCAAACAGGGGACAGACAGTGTGGTCTAGTGCGGGAGCCTACGAAAAGCATGCCAATGGAACACATGTACCTCCCAGCATTCTGCTTCTGGACTGCCTCCATAAATTAGAAAGTAAAGCCATGCGAATTGTACATAAAAAAATCAGAAAAGTGTCGGTAAGGTTACAAGCAATCTCCCCACAGACAAGCAGAACCGTTTTCCGTTTTCTCGGAAGGCCCCTCCATACTGCAGTGCTGCCGCGCGTGCATCTGTAACCTCTGCTTGTTCCGGTTTCCCAAACTTCCTGTCTCTTCTAAATAACTTTCCAAGGGTCTTCTTTGCCTGCCTCCAAAGTTTAGAGATGGCCAAAGCTCCTGTCTTCTTAAACTTTGACGGACAATCCAAGGGCTGACTTGTCCGTGCCAGTTCCCCTCAAGCTTGCATTTTTCCTCTTCAGCATCTCGCAGCTGCTAGTACCGTTCCCAAGCCACACATTGGGCTACCGTCACCGCTTGAACAAGTAAGTCTCCACGCACTGGGCATGGTGCCACTGACCTACAATCCCAATACAAGCTGAGGCAGGAGGGCCGCAAATCTGAGGTCAGTCTGAGCTACTTAATGAGACCCTGTCTTAGGGAAGAGAGAGGAACACCTCAAATTCCCACAACAGCTTTTCCTCCGCAGATGAGACCTTTTGATTTCACTTCATCTCTCCATTCACATCTCTTACTTCAAAAGCTAAACGTACAATCATTCCCAGGACTTCTGCAGCTAAAACATCCCAGCTCCAACTCGCTTGTTTCTGCTACCATTACAAGACCAACCACGTTTGTCTTGCTTGTCCTTGGATACATGCTTGCGCCATACCCTCCCCCCATTCCCTTGACACTGGGAGATTGCCAAGGTTCCCTGACTTTCTCCCTCTCCTCTCTTTAATCTATCATGTAGAGTCGCCACATTTACACCCCTCAAAACAGCCTTTAATGACTCCACTCTCCTACGCAAAAAAATCTTTAATGATTACGTGAATAAGTCACTCGGCATCTAGTAAGTAATCTAAATTCTCTAATCGGGTAAGCCATTTCCTTTCCACCCATCACCTGAGTGCCAGTCAGACTGAACCCCTGAGTCATTTTAGTTCCCTCCAGAAAGACACGGGTCTGCTATATGAAACAATTCAGGTCTTACTGCCCCCTTCATTCCTTGGCTGTTTAGGATTGCAGCTGTATCTTAATACCCTCAGAAAAGAAGTCAGTAATTTACAAAGCAAAGTAAGACTTCAGAACAAAATCAATCAAATGTAGGTTATAAGAGAGTATTTCACAAAATAAAGTCCATGTTTTACCTGTTATTACATTTATATCAGGGTACTGGCTCTCACAGAGACCAACAGTTTTGCTATCCTTCTCAAAAGCCTCTCGAAGTTCTTTCTTGACAGCTGCTGAACCACACAATCGATACAGGCCTACAACCTAGAAACAAAATGCCATGTTATGAGAACGATAATGCATGGAATGATATAACACAAATCACACGAACGTGGCAATCGGAAACACCCTCATGTCATTGTAGCACCTCACAGGCAGCTTCTGAAATCTCAAATTAATTGAGTATACGATGGAAGAAACCAGTTTTAGATAAAATAGGTAATAAAATAAAAAAAGGCAAAATGAAGCCTATTTTTAAGTTCACACAGAAGTTACACAGACGGTGCTCACTGCACAACCTATGATGCAAACACTTGGCATGTAAACACTGCTAGCTCTTCCAATTGTTGAGTCTTCAGAAGTTCAGTACACGTCCTGGGAGAGGAAGCCACCTGGTCTCAGCATAAAACCTGGTGTCATGGCACACATGTCTGTAGGCCCAGCTCTTGAGAGGTGGAAGGAGGAGGGTCAAGAACTTAAGATGATTCTTAGCTGCACAATAAATTCAATGGCAGCCTGGACAGCATGAGCCCAGTAGCAGGAAGGAGGAAAGGAGGAAGGGAAGAAAGGAGTGTAGGAGGGAAAGAAGGAAGGGAGGGAGAGAGGGGTGGATGAATTTACAGAGAATAAGGGTTTGTCACCTACACTTTCAAATCAAAAGGCTATGCAGGAAGCGGTCACCCTGAGTTGAAGAAGAGTTACAGAAAATTATTTCACGATAAGGAAGCATGCACGTTCCTCAAAAGCTAGAATTAGGACTCTCCACATAATTTCAAGTGATCTAGAAGACAAATGAAGTGTCTGGGTTTACTTACGGCTGACTGTCCCCTGAATCACTAAACAACCAGAGGAGCACCTGAGAGGTGGGTCTGAAACGGGACAGCAGCAACAGTGACGTGGGCAATGGGAAAGAACTCAGGTGACTGCTACTGCAGCACGGTCAGAAACCTGATCTGCTTCAAAGAAACATCCACGCCAAGTGCTCCTGCCGGCAAAAGGATCAGTGATCTTCTGAGAAGAAGGCCAAGGAATGTCCTAGAAAGACAGTTCTCACTTCCAAAATCATGTTGTCCTGAGCTATTCATTCTGAGAACAGCACATTAGGGTTGGCATGCCACCTCAAGAAACCGGTGGAAACCCAGGGAGCTGCACACGCACGGTGCACAGACATATGTAGGCAAAACAGCCTACATATAGTAATTACAAAAGAAAATCCAGGTGGCTGGCAGATAGAAAAACTAGAAGAGCCACTTCTCTGTCACAGTCCAGACTAGCAAATAGAAACCGTTTACTGAGAGAGGCCCACAGATGAAGGAAGTTTGATGCTTTAGGCTATATTTTAAAAATATATACATGACACAGAAAATAAAGTACAAATGTTAAATAGGAAATATTAAAGGGAAATGTTTCTGCAGCAAAAGAAACCGATTTTATTATAGCCCTTTTGATAAAGGCCCATTTAACTGTAATAAGATCCTTTTATTTCATGTATGTATACCTTTGAACTTGAAGACAAATAAAGCTATGTCAGATTAAAGTACTATTTAAGACAGTAGACAATAAGTTGATCAAACATCTTATGCCCCAAAGACTCAAGTTACAAACACAGATTTAAAGTTACAGAAGTGAAGGCCTAACATGCATTGCAGAGAAAGACATTTCAGACACAGCCCTCAGTTCAGCGGCTGGCTTCCAAAGTCACCAACACACACTTAAGCTACAGAGAACAGGCCATGAGTGTGAGCTCTGCAGTGACCTTTCCCATAGGAAGAGGAAGAGGCAGCAGCGTCCACAGTATCCACAAGAAGCACATGCCAGTGGCACACCCTGTCTCTGTGCAAACCTCAAATGGTTTTCACAGGGAAAAATCAAGAGCAATTATTAACAAAAGGGCAAACAAAGCCTGAGTGGCGGCCATGTGGTAGGCTGCACGGTGCAGGTATAGGAAGCCTGTGTCTTTCTGGCCTCTCTGTGCAGGTGTGTGCAGGAGGGGGAGAAAGGAAAGACTCAAAGCAAGTACTCCCTGCAAGTGCACAACTTTCTAAAATGATCTTTTAAATTGTATTACATGCTATTCTATTACATGTATAGGCATTTGCCTACATATGTGACCGTACTATGTGCATGTCTGGTGCCCATGGAGGCCAAAAGAGAGTGTTAGGTCCCCTGGAAGTGGAGTTAGACGGTTGTGAGTCATCACATGCTTGCTTGGGAAGCGAATCCAGGTCCTCTGCAGGAACAGCCAGTGCTCTTAACTGCTGAACCAACTCTCTAGTCCCCAAAAACTTATTTTTAACCACATGTGTGTCTGTACATGAGTACAGATCCAGCTGGAGTTACAGGCGGAGATGAGCTACCAGACATGGGAATAGAACTTGGATTTTCTGGAAGAGCAGGAAGAACTCTTAGCCACTGAGCCATCTCTAGTGTATGTCATGCCATGTCAGTACTTTGGAAGAAATGGCGGTGGATCAGGAGTTCAAGACCAGCCTGAGTTACCTAGCTGGTTTGAAAACAACATATAATTCTAAATGCACTACTGAAGGCCTTTAGGTCACAGGAAATCTTTACTCTGTATTGCAATCACTTAGTTATTCATACAAGTGTGCCATGGTCCACGTGTGCAGGTCTCAAACTTATCTCCCTCCACCATGCTCATCCGAAGAATCAAACTCAAGTCAACAACCTTTACCTGCTGAGCCATCTTGCTGCTCCAGGAAATCTTTATTATTTTTTATTTCCTGTGCATTGGTGTTTGTTTCCTGTGTGTTCCTGCATGTAATTATGAGGCTGTTGGATACTCTAGACCTGGAGGTACAGACAGCTGGGAATTGAATCCATGTCCTCTGGAAGAATAGCCAGTGTTCTTAACCACTGAGCCATCTCTCCAGCCCTCAGGAAATCTTTCTTAAAAGAAACCTTTCTAAAATTTTATACAAATAAGAATCACTGCTAAAAACAACAGTCTTTACACATCTGTTTTATATAGCTTTCAAAAAATAAGCTACAGCACAGTAGTTTAAGCTCCTTATTTTAATATTAGTTTGAAAAGCATCTATTTAATGATTAACTTTAAAATCTACCCAGTTTCTGAGTTTTCTACATAGATGGGGGTGGGGCAATGGGAAAAGAGGAAATGGGAAACTTTATGAATGAAATGTAGTTGACTGAAAGTTGGACTTTAACGTAAATGCTTTGTCCAAAGAGACGACATAAACTAGATACAGAATCATGAATCTGAACTGACATTCTTCCTGGTTACACATCCTACTTCTGGGTACCATTTTCCAGCTGTGTTACAAATAACAGCAGCTTTGGCTGCTCTTCTAGGAGTTTGGCTCAATACCTAGCACCCACACGGAAACTCAAAATTGTCTGTAAATCTAGTTCCAGGGCAGACAACACCCTCTTCAGGCCTCTGTGGGACCCAGACACACACCATGCAGGCAAAGTTCTCATACATCGAAATAACAAAATTAAAAAACAAAACAAAACATGGATATGTGTTCTCATCAGTTGGAGCTGTCCTCATTTCAAATTTGGCCTGGAGTAAAGAGCCTGGTAAGTGTGGACTTCTGAAGAGGACAGGGTTAAGCACGGGGTTAAACTCGGGTGTAGAGCCAGAGCCTGGGATCCATGTTGGAACTGTCCCAGAATTTCAAAGCATGCAGAAATGCAGGACAGTACCCTTCTGTGTTTCAGCTTTTCTAGGCAAGTCACTGTAAAGAACTCTAGTCCTTTTCAGTCCTAAGCCCATGTGGTTCTGTTTCACAACATAACCATGAAACTAGCTAACACACTCTCAAATCACAGCAACAAAAGCTAAGATATGGAACACACTCCAAAAATAATGAGTTGCAGGCTGGGGAAATGTCTAAATCTTTTTTTTTAAACCTTGGCTTGAATTCTTTTTCCATAATACCTAACAACCAATCAGTAAATGAGAGAGTAGAAATACAGTGAAATACCTGACAGCCCCTCTTTTCAATTTCCATGATACATTTCTGTATCAACAGTGGCACCATCAAGCCTACATTTTCTTTTTCTACAACTTTCTGAATGTCAACACCAAACATTACTGATTCTCGGTTTTTATCCAGGCCATGGAGAGAATTCTCCCACTGTTCCATCAGGGTCAACTTGACATATATGAGCCCTCTGGGTTCAAGCTTGACAGCCAGCTGGTGTGTTTTTGTCACTCTGAATAAGGTGGGCAGGACCACCGTGCCATGACAGCACACTCTATTTCTCCTTGGAGTGGGCTCCCAGCTGAACACCACCAGTTTCAAATGCTGTGCGTTTTCAATCTCTATGTTGAAGGTGTGGTCCATGTCTAAAAACGTTGTCCGACAGGTGAGCAAAGCTGTTCTGGCTTTGTTCACTGAGTCTACCTGAATTGCACAAAAGACGTCTTTGGAATCTATCCGGGGTGGCTTTAAACCCTCTGCGCCGTAGAAGTGCACACTCATGAGACCGGATATGTACTGTGAACACTTTGGTTGATCCGCAAAGCTGTAGTGTCTAAAGGCACCTACATCTATTTCATTTTTGCTACAACTGCTTGGAACGGTTTCTCTCCCTTTTCCAAGTTTGTGCTCGGATCCATGCTTGCTAGATTTAGTTCTAAGCTCGGGTGAGTCTCCGTCACTGAGGTACCCACCCTTGCAGGAATACTTTGAGCTCCTGGTGACTTTCTTCTGGTAGCTGTGCTGAGAAGATACGGTCGTATCAAGATGATACCGGCTTATTACGTTCCTGGTTGGGTTCGCAGAAGGCAGAATAACACTATGAGAAATTTCTCGGCAGTTCCATTTAGATAGAGAAGGGGTGCCATCTGGACTGTTTACGTAGTGCGAAGCACCCCTGGCACCCAGCTTTCGGCTGAATTCCGGCAACCTCTTCATTTTCATAGAAAGTTTCCTCACAGTACGTGGAGATTTTATTTTATCTGGCAAAGACCAAGTAATTGAGCTGCCTTTCTTCACAGGGCTGGGGCTTGGAGAAGATGGCTCCATAGCTCTCAGTTCAGTCCTATTTGTAGAAACTACAATCCCAGGACCTTAAAAAGAAGAAAGAACAATACTATAAAACTATAAAGACTTCTTGTTTTATTCCTACTTTATAGGGAGACTGGTTCTCACAAGGGTTGAAACACCTCCCACTTCGTACTTGGGAGCTGAACTGGGTCTCACTCTGATAGGAGACGAGCCCCTGCCCACAAGCTGTTCTGAAGCCTGGGATGCGGGACCATGGTTCCTTTTCCCTCTGCAGTGAGTGCAGAGCCTTGAACAGTGGCTTAAGATCTGGAGGGACTGGAAAACCTCCATCTCAGTACATCCAACTAGAAACACAACTCTACATCACAATGCTGCTTCTGTATTTATTCCCTCCAAAGCCAAGTGCTGTTGATTTAGGGGGGAAAAAGTTAAAAACCAAACAGTCTGTAATTTGGGCAGGAAAGAGGCCTTCTTTGTTCTAAAACTCTGTTAGGATATTGTATATCCAATTAAACTTCCTGGTAAGCTGGTTCTGGTAAAACACTGATAGAATATGCTAAACGCTAAGCTTTCCCAGTTAAAAAGAACAGATTAATCAATTTCATTTTTGAGTTTGTACATGTTCCCAAGTTTTCAAATTAATCACACAAAATAAAAATATGTTCGGAAATAAGTTAAAATCTCCCTTAAAAATACAGTATCATTGCAATTATTTAATATTCAATTTTCAGATTTTGTCTACTCCTTAAATAAAGATCTAATAACCTTAATACCAGAATCTAATCTTGTTGAAACTATTTCAGGGTTAAAATGTGAACACATCTGTTCAGAATCAGTATGACCTTTCTTTAAGTGACCTTTCTTTAAAGCGTTAACACACAAGTCTCCTCCTGGCCATCTCTGTATCCTAAAGACAAATGTTGTCTGTATATCTCTGCATCCTAAAGACAAGTATTGTCTGTATATCTCTGCATCCTAAAGACAAGTATTGTCTGTAAATAGAAAACCGACTATTATAAGTATGCGTGCCAGGCTTTTTTGGTAACAGCTAGTAAGGAGCAGGGTGCTTCCATACGGGACAAAGCATCCCTTGTACAGCCTATCACAACAGTCTTACTGGTTCAGTGGTCTAGAACATTCTGGAGTAATAGGGGTCCTGCTCAGCCTAACATTAACCTATTTCACTATAACCTATTTTATTATAACTGGTGCATTAATCTGCTCTGAGTTTTCCTAAGTTTTTAAGGAATTTAATATTCTGATTATTTTTATAAACTGTTAGTAAACAATTCCTAAGTCATTAATTATTAAAATGAAACATTTTGTTATGTTAGAGCTTCTACTGCAGACAAGAGGGAATTTATTACTACTAAAGTGGGGGGCTAAAGAGATGGCTCAGGACTAGAGCGTTTGCTGCATGAACACAGGACCTGAGTTCAAACCACTGGACTCAATGTGAAGTCGGGCGTGCTTCTGTGTGTCTGTGATCAGTGCTCCCACAGCAAGATGGGAGGTAGAAACAGGTGATACACGCAGTGGTGAACAATTAAAGGAGACCTACCTCACACGAGGTGATGATGAGGACAGACAGCCAAGGTTGTCCCTGACCTCATGAGTTCTGCAGCATGGGTGTGCCCCAAACACACAGGAACAAGTGCACACACAGACATACACACACACACACACACACACACACGTGAGTAAAAAAATTTTTGATTTTTAAAATTCAATGAAATTTAAAAACACAAAATTCTATCTTCCTTGAAACTACGACTATAAAAAAAAAAACCAAATCACAAAACAGCTATGACAAGCAAATATAAGATGGAAAAATGCTTAAATATACAAAGCTATGAACCAAACTATAGGTGCTGGATCCTCTGGGAGCCAGAGTTATAGGGGGCCACGGCTGTGAGCCAACTGACGTGGGCGTGGGGACCCAAGCTCAGCACGCTTGATGCTGAGCCGCCTCTCTCCAGGCCCGCAATGTCTTCACTTTATAAGGTCAGGGTATATGACATAAACGACAGACGTCGGCCAGGCTCAGCTTTAGGTACTATCAAACACCTGAAGAGGAGAAAAGAAAACTCAGGTGGACAGCCACTTTTACCTGTAAAAGCAGGTTTCAACATGGGGCCGTCCTCCGCCATCGAGCCTTCCCATGTCCTGTGCCCCGACCTTTGCTTGCACTGCTGTGGAACGTCCGCAGAACGCACGGCATCTACAGAACAAATTCCATTGGACTGCGCAGTGTGCACGTCACCCGTGTGTTGAGCAGGACACAGCAGCTCTTCGCCGTGAGGCTCGGCCTTCATCAGGTCCCCGGGAGACAACATGCTCACACACAGAGCAGGGAGCTTCAGGGCAGCAGCCTTTGCCTCCCCAAGCCTCAAGACACTTGCTATGCCGAGGTCCTCGTCCTCGGGGATGGGATTGTACCATATCTCTCCTTCATCGTCGGCATCGTTGTCCTCACTGAAGTCTAGAGAGCCGTTTCCTGGTGATGGAGAGCTGGCTGCGTTACACCCCGCAAGTGTGCAGTGTCCCCTGGGGGATTTACAGAAAGGCTGCGATGGCTGGCGTCTGTGTGGAGACACGGGGGAGAGGGAAAAATAACTGTCTTGGCATCGCCTTCTCTCTTCCAGACTCTGGGACCTCAGGGTACTCTGATACAGCCAATTGCGCTTCTTCGAAACAGTGATGCTGTTGAGGGGCTGGTGACCTCTAAGCTCAGCAGTACCCTTTACATCTTCCGGCTCTCTCTTCTTCAGCGGAGACCCGTAGACATTTTCAAATAGGTCTGCTTCAAAGGAGAAAAGAGGGAAATTAGGTCGGTATAGCAGGAAAGACATGTCACTGGCGACCAGTAATTAAAATGTTTAAAAATAAAAGTGATATTAATGATATTCATAGATCAAAAAACAAACCAAAAAAAAAAACTTTATTTTTTTTCTACTGAAATGGAATTTCAATTTAGAAATCAAGTGGGTATGTAAACGTTATGAAAGTCTAAGGAAAAAAAAACACAAGCTAGCATTTTCTATTGTAAAATATAACTGTGCTCAGGTCTTACCCTAAGCAAAACATCTAATTTATAAAAAGTTGCTAAAGAACACTTTTTATACAATACACTTAATTGATATCTGAATAATAACCAACTCATGAGGACTAGAAGTCATGAGCAACCAGTAACAGTCTTTCATTTTCATAAAGATTAATTTTTAATAAAAGCCTTCAAATTTTAACAAAAACCAAAAACATTAATTAAAGCACAAACTTAAGGAGCAGATTAATACTAAACAAAATAGCCCTTTCCCACAGTCCAGGGAAGACCCCAGACACTTAGGTTTCCTGTCTGCCAGCATAGTGTTACAGTGTTACCTTACTTGCAACTAAAGAAGCTTATGCTTCCAAAGAACTGCAGCAAGTGGCAGTGACTAAGCCAAGCACACATCTGTCCCAACAATAGTTCACTGCACATAATTAAAATACAACCGCACTATGGAGATCTGAGATGGCGTTGTGTTTCTAAATAATGCCATTATAGTGTTATGCCACTCTGAATGTGTATATGGCTAATTCCTCTTGTTACAGCAAATGAAGCATAATGACTTAATAGCAGTGATAACAACTTTAAGCTATGATAAGCTTAATAACAAACAACAAATTACATCCATATATATAATCAAGGCTTTCAGTAACCTTCCATCTACTGAAAAAAAAAAAAAATCTTTAAAAATGTAAATTTACCATTCCCTTTTTAAGCCCTAAACTTGTACCCAATCAAGCAGCTTAGTCAAAGCAAATCCTTCACATCCAAACTGAGGTTTGAGTTGAAACAGTTCTAAATATATAAACTAGACTAGCTCTTAGGAGCTCCTGCTATGTAAGTCATTGATTTACTCAACTCCTTGTGCCAGGAAGGAGAATGAACGCAGCCAAGAAGTTCTGAATTCCCTGACACTCTACAGCAGCGGTTCTCAACCTTCCTAATGCTGTGACCCTTTAATACAGTTCCTCAGGCTGTGGTGGGCCCCAACCAGAAAATTATTTTCATTGCCACTTCATAACTGTAATTTTGCCACCGTCATGAACTGTAATGTAAATATGTGTTTTCTGGTGGTCTCAGGCGACCCCTGTGAAAGGATCATTTGGACCCCTCCCTCCAAAAGGGTAGCGACCCACATGTTGAGAACCACTGCTCTACAGCAATCCTTTGAGTATGAGTGATGTTCAAAACCAGGCCTTTCTAACCCTAATACTAGCACTCTTACTCTTTTCCCCAAGGGAGTGTGGTAAGAAAAATAAAGCTACTAGCATCCTACATCTAAGCAAGTTAATGTATTTAATAAAAATGTAATGCTAAAAGGAATAATTATTTCTGAGACACTGTCGTTGTTCCTGTGTGTGTGTGGTGTGACAGTGTGTGTGTGTACATCCATGTAGAAGTCAGAGGTTGGCATCAGGATCCCTTGGAACTGGAGTTACAGAAGGCTGTAAGCCACTGAGAGTACTGGGAACCAAGCCTGTGTCCTCTGCAAGAACAAGGCTGCTAGGTGCTGAGCCTTCTCTCCGGCCCCTCCATCTTGCTTTATTGAGACAGGGTCTTTCACTAAACTTGGAAGGCTGTGTGCAATCTTCTCTCCCTTCCCTTTTTCTGCTAAAAAGTAACACCTAATTCAATTGCACTAACTTAATAGATTTTACTTCCTATTATATACACAAGAAGATATAATATAGAAATAAATATACAAAGTTGTGGGGTAAAAAGCACTCTTTTGTGACCACACATGTTAACTGATATAATTTTCAGGTTCTAATTAAGGTGATTTTATTTTTTAATATCTGTAAGATAAGGCAACAGTGGCAACTTTTGGTAAGTTTTTCACTGAGAAAAGTAGGCTGCAGAGCGGTAAACTCCTTGAGCCAATTTTATTTTCTCAATGGTTATTTCATAACAAAGCCAGCTAACTTAGAATTAGTGAACATTTAACTGTTCAGTAATTAACCCCTGTCTCAAAACAACAGCAACTAACCAGCTGTGCACTTCAATCAACTGAAAGTGTACAGTATCCACCGGCTACTCCACAAAGTAGTGTCCTTCCTTCTCTTTAAAAAACAAAAAACAAAAAACAAACAAACAAAAAAAAAAAAAGCTCCATTAGCTGGGCATAGTGGGGCACACACCTTTAATCCCAGCAATCAGGAGGCCAAGGCAGATCTCTGTGTGTTTGAGGCCAGCCTGGTCTACCAAGAGGGTCCAGGACAGCCAGAGCTCTGTTACACAGAGAAATGCTCTCTTAAAAACAAAACAAAACAAACACACCTCAAATAACAACATTCTTATAAGCATCAGATATTGAAGTCTATGCCTAGGTTTTTGATTGTTTAAGAAAATTGAACCTGTATGTGCATTTCCCAGATGAATCTGAAAGGAGGTAGAGTGTGATAAGGACAGACACTTATTGTGACTGACAATAAAAACCCTCAATCAAATTATATGTTCACTTTTGAGACTAAGCAAGTAGAAGGGAAAACTTTGAGACTGTTTTCAATTCCACAAAAGTAAGAGGCGGTGGTGGGGGAGAGCAGTACAGATGAGGTGAGCAGAGTGAGTGTGGCTGGCCAGGCACCTCCTCAGCGCTCCCTGAGGCCTCTCTCGGCTGCAGTCCATCTACTCACACCAGAAGAATTCTAATGACCTGGGGCAAGGCAGTGTCTTCCCAAAGCCTGCCAAGTGCCTACAAGGAAGCCAGTTACTTTAGGCCTCTCATAGCAGCCCAAGAAAAGAAGCCACAAGAAGTAGAGTAACTCTCTCTGCCCACCACTGTTCCTCTCGGTCAGACTCCAGAACCTCCCCGGGAAATGGGAGCAAGTAAGACAACTACTCAAATGATCATATACTTTAAGCACTAACTATTAATTCATACAAGACTGAAGCAGAGAGAACTCTGTGCTTCGCTCTTCCTGCGGTAAGTTTAAGGATCAAGCATTAAATAAGGAAGTGTTTCCAAAACCGAGGGACACAGATCCTTACTAAAGTATAGCCTTCCGAACAGCGCCACCTGTCTCCTGAAAGCCTGTGAAAATGCTGAATCCCAGGGCCCTGCCCACACTTACTGAATCTGCACTTTAAGGATGTTTTCCAGGGATCCACACGAACACTGTCTGAAAAGCATCCTTCTCCAACACTGAGAAGAACACCTTCTGCAGCAAGCCGGCCTCAAAGGATAAACAGATTGGGAACCACTGGTCTAGAAGCACAGGACTTTGAAACCAACAGGACACTACTTTCTGCTGATTTTGTAATTCTCAAAGTTTTCCAGCCACCAGCAACTCCAATGTTCCGTGGCACTCTTCCAAGGCAACAAACAAAAAAAGCTGCACTTGCTTCCAAAGGCCGGAAGGCCAAACTGTCTCAGCACAGCACGGGATTTAAAGCCAGAAGACTGTCAGAAAGAAACCGTTCATTTGCTGCTACTAATGTTGGAGGTGCTGGCAGAGTGGGGGTACAAGGAATCAAAACAAAACAATATTGAAACCAGAGTTTCAAATATTTCAAAAAAGATACAGATGAATCTGTACCATGGTATCAACTTCATTTAAGATGGTTAAAGACCATACTAGCTGGAGGGTCTGGAGAGATGGCTGAGCGATTCAGAGGACTGCTGTGCTCTTCCAGAGGACCCAGGTTCTATTCCCAGGCCCCACATGTCAGCTAACAACCATCTCCAACTGCATGGGCCCCCAGCATGCTAGTGGTGCACAAACAAAACAGCCAAACAGATAAGATACAAATAAGTCTTTAAAAAGAGAAAGGGAGGGGAGGGGATAACCGGGAAAGAAAGGGAAGGGAAGGGAAGGGAAAGGTGGGTGGGGGAGGGCCTGTAATGAACTTAGGAGGCAGGCAGATCTGTGTAAACTCAAGGCCAGCCTGTTCTACATGGTGAGTGCTAGGGCAATGCAGAGACTCTCTCACCAACCAGCAAACAAAAGATCACACAAGCTTGGGGATGTGGCTCAGTGGGTGTGGTGCTAGCTTAGTGTGCACAAAGCCCTGGGCATGATTCCCTGCACAGCATAGATGGGGTATGGCCATGCACAGGTCTGGAGTTCAAGACCAGCACTGGCTACAAAAACAAAAAAGAGAGATCATGCCATCTAATTAACAATACCTTAAAATTTCTAGGTAAATTATTAACAGTTACATTGTGTCTTTTTTCACAGAAGCAAAAGTGGAGTCAAAGAGGCTCAGGTACACTTTTAACACAATAAACAGCCAAAATAGTTCAAATGGGGCTCCAAAATATATTTCTAAAAATTGCATGCTAATTAAAACTTTTCTGTAAAGATTTATAACGAAGTGCAGTTGGCAAATAAACTATGGTTCCTTCATAATCTTAAGGCTTGCAGAAACTTGACAATATTTACTACGTGTAATGACTTCAGATTTCTTAAATAATCATCTCAATTAGGAACAAATTGGCCAATCTGTGAACACTACAACACACTTAAATACACCAGGCTTCTGGCTTTATAATACCATCAAAAGTTAGTGGTTCTTGGTGGAAGCCAGATAACAAAACAGAAAACCACTTTTGTTTGCATTTGCCATAATAGTCTCCAAACATTTGAAAAACACTCAGATTAGGTATCTCCATCCCATTACATAGCTATTATGTTTCGGACTTGTAATTTTACTTTGAAAGAAAATAGCCGTATGACTATATAGAAAATGTGGTATAAACCCTTTAGAATACTCAGCATCTTCTGTACAAACTAAGAATGTGATGCTCAAAATAGGCTGTATAATTTTTCAAAAAAAAACAGCTTTAAATTTATTTTACTCTCTTTTGTGTGTTGGGGGAGGGGACGGGATCTGTAATCAAATCCAGGTACTCTACCTCTCTGGACTCAACAAATTCTCCAAGCAATGATGACTCAGTGGTAAAAAGCACTTGTTCTCGAAGAGGACCTGGGTTTGATTCCCAGCGCCCACATGGAGGCTCACAGTTGTTTCTAAGGGTATCAGATCTGATATCCTCCAAGGGCACCTGGCAGGCATGTAGTGCACAAAAATACATTCAAGCATGTGGTGCACATACACACATGCAGGCAAAACACCCATACACATAAAATAAATCTTAATAAATACTTTAGTTGAAAACTGAACAAAATTAAACTATTATTATTTTAATATAAAGCCTACACTATTGCAGGAAGTTACTTAGCATTCTAAACCATGTTTTATAAAATTCCTTCCATCTCCTCAGGCCAAGCATTTAATGAAATTAATTGAATCAAGCCTCTAGAGAATTCTGATCTCCTTGACCTTATATGGATGTTTCTTAGTCTTGAGAACAGAGTTTGAACCCAGGACAGTCTAGAAATGTGTATCACCAAGGAACTTTCAGCAAACTCCTTAACCTGTAAGTTTCTTTGCTGTTGAATGACAATGGCCTTATCTTGGGTGGGGAGAAAGGATTCCAGAAAAACTGGTGAAAGAATCCAGAATGGTCTTAGACCAGCAAACTAAGAAAAACTGTTTTAACCATCCAGCAATAGTTCTTAAGATACCTAAAAACTATTTTGTTATTTTCACTTCCTAAAGAATCGATATGAAAGAAATAGTGAGGAAGACAAAGTTCAGGCAGGAGAAACTTCGGCAGCTTTAGGTTAAATTTCATATAAAACACTGCTACAGTAACTGCAATATTTGGTTTTAGTTTCTTGAAGTTGTTAACACTTCCAGATTTAATGTCCTAATGGAAGAAGCAACAAATTCATCCTATGAGGAAATACATTTATTTAACTCCCTGAATATCTGCACAACTACTAAAGTAATTCGATGATGAATGTTTTTATAACAGAGTTTTGTTACCGGTGAAATTTATCATTCGGAATTGAATTAACCAGTCAAGGGGGCTAAATAAAGGCCGTGAGGGTAAGGTTTGTGGTTACAAGTACCTTAGATCTGGGGGAAGCTTTTGTTTTTGATGTGGGCTTGGTAAAGTGCACCCCTTTTGACAGTCTCCTATTCCTTTGGTCAGGTGAAGAAGAATTAGGGTCTACTGCTGAATGGATACTGTCTATTTATCATAGGAAACCACTGTTTAATTAGAACTTTTGGGAACTTTGCTTCTCCCCCACACTTGTGATTATTGGTTAAAGTTAGTGTGCAGTAACCCAATGCCATGGGATGTGAAATCTTTCTTCTTTCCTACTTTCTTTTTTTAAAAAAGGGTCTCACTATGTAGGCCACACTGGCCTCTTACAGAGATCCACCTGCCTCTGCCTCTGCCTCTGCCTCTGCCTCTGCCTCTGCCTCTGCCTCTGCCTCCAGAGTGCTGGGATTAAAAGGCCCAAGCAACCACACTGAACTGGATGTGTGTTCTTGCCATGAAACCCTCAAATACCTTCAGCACTTACTTTTTAAAACTCTTCACTGCATTTAAAGTTTCTGCATTTAAAGGGGTGTCAAGACACCACATGGTTTTGATCTGTTTCTTTCATCAGAAAATTTTTGATATTTACAACAAAATTCAGAGATTTCTAAAACTAGGTCTTCTGTGATAATTAAAAATCAGGCGGACAGCAAACCAAAGAACTTGAATACTATATAAGGACAAACAAAATTTAATTTTTTTTTCTTCTATAAATAGTGTGGCCTAAGTTTTCAAGTGACCTCAGGTGCTTGGACTTGGACCTGAGTGACACTGATTTTCATTACAATACGAGTATCCTAGCTTTTCTACAGGTGAAGGAAATCTTAGCTTTGAGTTAGTTTGTGATGTGATGCTTGTACTTGTGTGCGTATCCAGCACGCTCTCGGGTATGTCTGAGCTCAAGTGTGTATGAGTGCCCGGGTAAGAAGAAAAAGAGTCTAATAAGTAAAATGATGGGTAATAAAGCCTGTAAAATTCTACCTTGGATTGAATTCAGGCTCACAAACTTCCCAAGTATTAGGGTTTGCCTAGAGCTACAGAGAAAAATCAAGGAAGCCGCCCTTCTCAAAATCTGCAGAAAAGGCATGTAAAATACTTAAAACCTTTCCTCACTGTTGTCCTAAGGGAGGAAGCATGCTGACTCTTGGAGAACAGAAAAACGAAAAGAGAAAGGAAAAAGCAGGAAGGGAGAGAAAGAAAGAGAGAGAGAATGAGGAGGAGTGGGGGGAAGGGCGGGAAGAACACAAGATTTAATGCATGACATTGGCAGGGTCACGCGACCGTCTGCAAAAACACTGGCGGAGGCAGAAGCCCACTTGGTAAACACTGCAGCAGTAGTTCTCAACCTGTGGGTCTCGACCCCTTTAGAGACTTGACCCACTCTCACAGGGGTCGCCTACGGCCATTAGAGAACACGGATATTTACAATCACAATTCGGTTCGTAAGAGTAGCAAGATTACAGTTATGAAGTGGCAACGAAAATAACTTCATGGCTAGGGGGGGTCACCCCAACATTGAGGCGCTGAAGTAAAGGCAGTAGGAAGGTTGGAAACCACTGCACTGAAGGCTCACGGCGTCGTTTAGCGTATGGACTGCAAAGTGTCCTACCTGTCAGTGTGATTCTTTGGTCGGTTGTCACCGAGAGGACGTGGTTTTCATGCACCTTCCAACTGCCCAAATTTGGTGAGGTTGCCTGCGCTCCGGGAACTTTGGGTGCTGTCCCACGAGCGCGACCCTTCATCCCCAGGGACAGCAGGCGTCCTTTGTACATCCACTTCTGCAGCTTCTTGACTGTCACCGCAGGTGGCTTGAGGAGGGCAGGCTCCTCGGGACGGTCCTCTCGGCTACTGCATATCACAGAGGTCCCCGTGGGATCCCTAAAGGGACGTCCGGAGGACCGGCCGAGGTCCCGGCAGAGGGGAGGCAGGAGGGCGGCGGGCGCAGCAGCCCGGTGGCTGCCCCGGCTCCAGCCGTCCATCCCACCTCCACGTGGCGGGGGCTCGTGCCGGTCCCTGTGCGCCCCGCACCTGATGCAGCTGTCGCTCGCCCACCGCTGGAGCACAGGCGGCTGGGGACTCACGCGGAGGCTCTCGAGGCTCCGGCAGCTGGACAGCCGCCTCCGAGGACTGGGCGGCCTCTCCAGCCGCGGCTCCCTCGGAGGCGACCTGGGCGGGGACACCTGCCGCGGAGGGCGGTCGCCGCCTCGGGGGCTGCAGGCTGGGCGCACCCCTGCGCCGCGGGGGAGAGGCGGCGGCTGGCCCCGAGCCCGGCCTCCCGCGGGTCCGCCCCGCCGCGTGCCCGAGTCAGGGGGCAGGTCGTGCATGGCCTGGATCAGCAGATAATAGGCCTCTCGCAACTGGGTCTGCAGCCTGCCCGTCTCCAGGCGGCCGCCCTCCATCCCCGGGGAGGAGCCCGCCGCTGGGGAAGGCGAGGCCCGCGGCGCCTCCGCCCCCTCGGGCGCGCAGCCCGCGGGCAGGTTCTCGTAGTAGTCGGCGCCCTCGTCCTCCCCGTCGCCGTCGCCGCCGCTGCCCTCGGTGCCCGGAGAGGCTCGAGCAAGCAGAGCGGCGGCCTCCCGAGCCTCGCGGGACCAGGGGACCCGCGCGCACGGCTGCTCGGGGCGCGCCCCGGTCCCCCACGAGGGCCGCTCCATGCCGGGGGCACCCACGAGCTCGCCAAGTGGCGAGCGTCCCTCGGGGAGCGAGGCCGCCACGGCGTCCGCGGGCAGCCCGAGCGCCCCGGGACCTTGCCGCTCCCGGAGCCGGCCGAGCGTCCTCCGCAGGGGCTCCGCCATGCGCGCCGCCTCAGCAGCCCGGCTCGCCCTGGGCGCGGGGCGGGCTCCAGGTCCCGCGCGGGCGGAGGCGGCGGTTCGCCATGACTGCGGCCGGTCCTCGCCAGCTCTTCACATACTTGGCATAACTCTGCGAGCGGCGGGCCGTGGGGCGGGGGGAGGAGGGCGCGGGCGCCGCAGCGCGCATGCCCCGGAACTGGAGCCGCGACGGGGCGCGCGGTCCGCGGCCCTGCGTTCCCGAGGTGGGCGCTCCGGGGGCGGGGCCAGCGGGGCTGCGGAGAGGGAAAGGTGGGGCGGGGCGGCCTGCCACCCCGCCACCCTCCCCAGCCCCTCCCCGCTGCCCCTCGGGTGAGGCGTGGCTCCCGTGCCGCAAGTCCTAGCTTGAGAGGAACAAAAGACTGTTTGGATGGACCGACCGTGAGTGCAGGTGTATCTCACCGGAGCGACGTTCCAGAGCTGTTCCGATCAGTTCCCTGCCCCCCACCCCGACCCACTCCGGAGCTGTTGAAAAGGAATTTACGCGGCTGGAGAGGTGGCTGTTAAGATCGCTGGCTGCTCTTGTTGAGGACACAGGTTCGATTCCCAGCCCCGATGGCTCACAGTCCTCAGTAACTCCGGTTCCAGAGGTTCCCGATGCCACCTTCAGGCGTTCGCTGGCACCAGGCATGCATGTTGTAGACAGACATAGGGGCAGGTAAAATATCCATGTACATAAACATAAATAATAAGTATTTATGGCAATTTCTTTTCTATAAGGATTTTTAAAAATCCTTTATGTCCTAAGTCATCTCCATTCCCTCTCCTTTAAATCTGTTTTTTTTTCCTTCTGTAAAAATATTATCCTTCTGCTCATCCAATATTAGTCCCTACATCAAAGAAAACATGTTTAATGGAGCCACAGATATCTGAGTACCAAACTAAAAGCACTAGTTTACAGCTTTTAAATGTAAAAATGAGAACTCTTCATTTCAATTCCGAGTTAAGAGCGAGCTGGATTGAAACAGGGAAAGGGTGAATTTGAAAATACCTCCTCTCACAAAATAAGAAGGCTCATGTTCAGTGTAGCAATACCAAACCCACGTCCATCACATTTCACCGTCACTGATCAATTAGAGTCGGTGTTAACCATCAGCCCTGATTTCAGCTATCCTTTTTAGTTTTTATGTATTAGGAATGACCTTTGAGTTACTTACAGTGCACAAATACCTAGCACATACCTGCACTTAGTAGGTACTCAAGTTCTCAAAAGGTGGTAGCTGAGTAAATAGGGCTTGCATTACAAAATAAAATGACTTGATCCTTACGTACTCCATCTAAGTCGTGTTGTTTTCTGCACCTAAGGCTCTGTCCTCTAAATTCGCTTCCATCTGTGCTCCACATCTGTGTTAGTGCCTGACTCTCTGCCTTCTGGAGTATTTCCCCTCCATCTGTATTTGTGGTAATCTTACCCATCCTAGGCTGGGTGTGCTGATATACATGCTTGCAGTCTCTGTACTGGGGAAGGAGGAGGCACTGATGGTCAGCTGGGGGACTGCCTGAACTATTTGGTGAGACCCTCTCAAAAGAGTAAACAAAGGAAAGAAGGAGCTGACAAGATTGCTTAGCAGGTAAAGGCAGCCTGATTGAAGCCTGACAACTCCAGTGTGAGTTCCATCTCCAGGACTCACCATTTTCTGATGTCCACACTGGGCTGTGGCACACCCACTCAAAACCATAAGAATGTGAAGAGGAGGTGGAGGGCCCTGCACAACCTTATTTTCAACTGCCTTCTTCATGAAGTCAACTCCCAGAAGGACATGACCTCAAGTTCTACCAAACTCCAGTAGTCCTTCATTACTATCCAGTACACACATGTGCCACACACGTACACACACACACACACACCACATCTTTATCATATATTTGTTGGGACAAATGTTGTAGTTACTTTTTTTTATATATAGTGTGTGTATGTGTGTGTGTGTGTTCTGGCTTTTTCACAAGAAAATTCAAAACTCACCCACTTCCTAAGGACAGAAACTACAGTCCCCTGTTGTATTGTGGTAAAAACAGCCTCTTAGGCACTGTACATGATGAGCCTTTTTTAATGACAGCAATGTTTTAGAAAACAAGTAGATTCAGTTTCCAGTCTGCTGCTCAACTCTCCACTAGACCATAGTGTATTGGTGTTGTTTTAAAATTCTCTCAGTAACAAATAGGAAAGACAGATTTGAACATAATCTCAACTCGTAGTAGGAAATGTTACACTATGATGTTCATACATCAGTACCGACTGTGCTAGAATATTTTTTATTGCAGGAACCCAAGGCTACTTCATGAATAGTCAAGGCATAGAAACATTCCCCAGGGAAATATTCCCACAGGAAATGACTGATAGCAAGCTGCCAATAATGGGTTCTATAAACACAATTTGATCTCTATCTCAGAAGTTGTTTTCCTTCCAACTGTGTTGCACAATCTTTTTATTCTTTGTAGTTAACAGAGTTTAAAATGCCATAAGCTGCACACACACACACACACACACACACACACACACACACCTATATAATTCTGTCCTTAATTCCACTTGGTAACTTGTTCAGGAGTCATGAAATTCACTGGTCAATGTAATACGCCGTGCATTGCTTTAGACATTTCTCAGAACCAAGTTTAGCGTAGCATATCACAGTGGGATTTAATACTACGTAAATTTGAGGAAGGGAGCTGGGCTGGGGCTATGGCTCAGTTGGTAGAGTGCTTTGAGCAGGTACAAGACCCAGGATTCTAGCCCAAACATGGCCTAAACCGGTGTGGTGACCCGCACCTGTAATCTCAGCATGTGGGAATACAGGCAGAAATGTAAGTTCAGGTCATCCGGAGAATGTTCAAGAACTTGAGTTCACAATTTTTAACTCACGGACATTAGTAATACAACTGGGATCGTGTAACACTATTCAGTGATCTTAAATGTATAAATCCTGGTTTTCTGTAAGTGTATTATGCTTAAATAAAAAGTTTGTAAACATGTCATTCTAAGATGTATCCACAGAGCTAACATGATCTACAGTATAATTCACCATCCCAAGGTTCTGATCTTAGACTGTTCAGTTACCTCCATTTCCTTTTCTGTCTCATCTTGCAGATTCCCATGGAAATTAGGGGGTGGCCCAGACATCTTCCAGTGTTTATACTTGTTTCTCGGAGGCTTGGCAATCACTTGGTGCCTCATGAATTGACAACTTACCACGTTGGCACTGTCACAAAAGATTTAACAGCGATGGGATCATGGGGCTCAAAGAAGGCAGAAAGCCAAGCTGGGGTGGCACTGACTCAGTCTAGGAGAAGGCAACAAACAGGCTGAGGCACGGGGTTTGTTCAACAGTCATAGAAGGGACTGTGGCTAAGAGTGTTCCAACGCACACAATTTGGTGGGTTTGTGTCTCATTGGTTCCCAGTCTTCCGTCATACTCTTAGGAAAACCAAACTCAAGTTTAGCCCTGAAACTTTTGAGTTCTCTCTTCCTAAACCGCCTCACCAGAAGCTTGGGGTACAGACATGTCTGCTCTACCATGCAGCTCTGTCAGTACTGGAAAAATTTGAGCCTTCAACTGACTATATTGAACTGACCTAGATGGCATGTTCTCCATACAGAGTTCCTGATTAACATCAGCAGTTTGCAGCATTTCTCATGTCCTCCCTCCTTCCTGTAATGAAAGGAAGACTTTTCCTAAATCTGCATGCATTTTCTGATGATTTAGAATACTCATTGACAATTCATATCCCCTACTCTTATGTGATCTATATTATTTGCTCAAGTTCACCACAATGAAATGGGAAAATAACCCCTCCCTTCTAACCCCCGGTATCTGATGGCAAAGCCACTATATCCCTGTGGCATTTCCTGGAACAGAAATAGATGCAAGACACTCTTCCTAAGTTAAGTGTTTGCACTTACTTGAACATTTCTTTGCTATAAATTAACTGATCACCTTTCAGAAAAGAGTAATGTTTTATGAGTTTGTGGGAAACACAACTGAATGTTTGAATTATTCTTAAAACAGTTTCATCCGGACTTTTAGAGCTACAGTCCATATTCCCATTTATCTGTGAATTTATTTGCAAAAATCCAACCAAAGAAACAAACAACACAGAATAGAATTTCAGACTGAAAAATGGAGTCTGATTTTCAAAGTAAGACAATGTAGTTTAGTACTTTGTAGTAGTCACCATTGAGGTTGTTTTTGTGGCCAAATGCCCAATACAAAGAAACTTGTGGGAGGAAGGATTTTGCTGGCTCACAGTTTGAGGACACCAGTCCACAGTGGAGGGTAAGGTCAGCAGTACGAGGCTACTTGCTCACATTTCAAAACAGAGCAGAGAATAGTGAAACTGCTGCTATTCAGGTCACCTCTTCCTTTTCCCTCTATTATTTCATCCAATCCCAGAGCACATGGGATGTTGCCAACAAATTCAGGTTAAGTTTTCCTGTCTAAGTTAATCTTCCTTTAAATGCAGCCTTCTTTTAGGTGTGATCTTAGGCAATGAGATGGAACTCATTCCAGTGCTGCCTTTACCAGCCCCAAGCTCCCAAACCTGAACCCTGACTCACCTCTGCCAATTCCACACCATTATCTTTCCTTCTAAAAAATCTACAGCACTTCTGAAATGCATGGCTTCCAGGCATGTCCAGTCTTTTCATACTGAGATACAGTGTGGTCAGCCACAAAGGTCAAGTTAGAAAAAAACTACATGGTCAAGTTACTGAAAATAGTTAGAAAAAAAATAAATAAATAAACAACCAAAAAACCAAAACCTCAATGTT